CAGAAATCAGAATTTCTTTTTTTAATTTCAGATTTATTTTTATTGAGGTAATTGGTTTATAATATTCATATATACAGCATTATATTTCCACCTCTATATACCCTACAGCATGCTCACCAACAAAAATTTAATAGGAATCAGAATTTCTCATCTAGCTGAGACTAAGTTTGAAAAGAGGAGAAGTACAGGTTCCCAAGCAAATTTCTGGGGTGGTAGTGAGAGGGGCCTCTTATTTCTTCTAGCTTTTGGTTCCCTAATCCATGAATTCCATCTGTAGGGGATGCGGCATCATGTATCAGCTGTGATTCCACGCACCCTCCACATCCTGGAGGTCATCACTCCAAACTCTCGGTGTGTTGGCTTTCATTGGGTACCTCATGTAAGAATATGACAGTCCATTCTGTGTTCCCTTAGGTCAGCTGCTTTCAGATATTGTGGTATATATAATCCTGTTGCATCTCCTTTATCATAAAATGATCCCTTCCTTGGTCAGAAGAGATGTTGTGTAGGATCCCTTGCCGGCAAGTCAGATACACTCTGCAAGCCTTTGAATAATGGTGCTGGCAGGACTCATGTCGGGGAGGCAAACCCTTAGATGGCGTGGTATAAATTTCAGTAAGAAAAATCAATGCCCCTCTAGGGTGAAATGTGGTCAGTATAACCAACTTACCACAAGGAGGTTGACTGGGTTCCTTAAAGGATAGTGCTATATGTAGGGCCATTCAATTCAGGCGTTCGGCGGCAGCGGTAATTTATCAGCTGTGGTGAGAGAGAGCCCATTCTGTTGTAGCCATGCATAGCCTTCAGCCTTAAATATGGCTGCTCTGTGCATGGACCAATTGCACAATCACTGGAAGGGCTTAGGACAGACCTAGATGACTTCTGCTAGACAAGCCATCTTGTCTACCTGGTGATGCATGCCTCCAAGCAGGCATTGCCAACCTGGATGCCTACTCTCCATAACCTGCCTTAAGTTCATGGTTGGCTAACCTGAGCCTGCGTGTTCTCCTTTCAAGCCTTTTAAAGCAGTTAACTGAAAGCATCCAACAGCACAATTCTTATGCTTTCCTTTGTCCCCAGGCCTTTCAAGTGTCCTCATTGCATATAAACCAACATTTCACCTTCTACCTGAATCTCGACTCAATCCACCATAGGCGAGAGTATTAATAATCATGTTGCTATTACGTTCCGGGGGTTATCACCATCCCACTTACCCCCAGCAGAGGGATCCTTACTGTAGCCTAACCAGTGCATCATCTAATCCCATAATCCCATCCGGAGGGTCTGCATTCTTGAGTCACTTCCAGTACCAACTGTCTTAGCTTAGGTTCCCTCAGAAGTATTGATAGTTTATTTTAGGAAGTGATTCCAAAGGAGACTAGGAAGATTAAAACAAAGAAGAAGAAAAAGCCAATACAAAAGGGAATGATTGAGCTGGTCATTGGTGTGGGCGTTCTGGGGCTCAAGGCAACCGAGATCGTCTGAGAAGCCACATTGACCTCTGGGCTTCGGGAAGCCTATCACTGCCACCCCATCTCTCAGCCCTATGTGGACTGGGCAAGGCAGGGCGGACTTACAGGCTCTGAGCTGCCTCGGGGGACACAATGGGCTAACGGTTGGCAGTGCTCCCCAAGGCCACCTAGACAATGAGCAGTTGGCCTCCCTGCAGCCTGGCAAGTTGACCCTTGTTTATTATGTCTAGGTTATTGAGGTATAATTTCAAACAATTAAATTCACTCTTTTTTAAGTGTATAGTTCAATGAGTTTGACAAATATATGTATTCATGTACCTACCACTACAATTCAGATCCACAACACGTCCATCGCCCTCTGACTCTCTACAGTCTATCCCCTCCTCCTCCCCTTGGCCCATGGCAAACTGCTGATCTGTGTTCTATCTGTATCATTTTGGCCTTTCCAGAACGTCAGGTAATGGAATCATTCAGGTTGTAGCCTTTTGGATCTGGCTTCATTCACTAAGCATAATGCTTTTGAAATCCATCCATGTTGTTGCAAGTATCAATAGTTCCTTCCTTTTATTGCTGAGTGGATGCATCACAATTGGGTGGACTTTGGGGCAATCATGATTCAGGTTGCTGTGTGTATTCACATACAGTTCTCAGTGGACATAGATCTTCATTTCTCTGGGAGTGAGATAGCTGGGTCATATGGTAAATGCAGAATTATCTTTATTGGAAACTGGCAAACTGTTTTCTGAAATGGGTGTATTCTTTGTTTTTTATCCCCATTGGTGGAACTGTTCTGTCATTGACAGTAGGACCATTATAGAAAGATCACTGACTAATTAATCCAGTGAGAAACTCAAATTATGGAATAGTTGTAAACATTTTTTGCTGTTTTAGTTCTTTAAGTACCAATCGCAACTCAAAGGATTGAGTTAGAAGTGCCCACCCCTCCAGCATGACCAACTGCCCCGGTTTGCCCGAGACTTTCTTGATTTTAGCCCTGAAAGTCCTGCATCCTGGGAAATCTCTCAGGCTTGGAACCAAACTGGCACAGGTGGTCACCCTGCTATTGAGTGTCAGGAGCTGTGCTGGGCACTGCACATCTATCTGTCACATCATTTTATCCACGGGCCAGTGTCAAGGGTAGGTTTGCTTGTCCCCATGATGCACATAAGGAAACTGCCTATAAGAGGTTAGGTCACTTGCCCCCAGCCCTTGCTACAGAGTAGGTGGAGCCAAACTTTGGCACCAAGTCTGCCAGACTCCAAAGCACTGGTGTCTTCCAAAGCAGTAGACTTTCATTCCCTAAGTGCTCAGTTCTGGGTCTCTAGGGGCACCAGCAGGCAGGTAGACCTGGGTGGAGCGTTGCTGCCCTCTGGTGACAGATAGGGTGTGATGCCAAGTCTGATTCCACCCTTGTAGGGTAGTTTCTTCACGTCCACCTTAAGTTTCCTCAAACTTTGTGCATTCATTCACTTCATTAATTCACTTAACTTCCATCCAGCAGCTGTCTGCCAAGCACCAGCTCTGGGCTGGACCCTGAGGTGGGGTGCCAGGGAGACAGCTGCCTTCCTGGCTCTTTAACTCTCTGATCATCCACTGTCTTGTGTGTTCTTTCATTCGTGGAATATCCATTTCTTTATTGAGCATTCATTCTTTCTTTCTCATACTCACTTAACTTCCTTATTCATTCATTCATCCGTAACTCAGTCATCTCATTTGCACATTCATTCATTCTCTATTTTTTCAGACTCCCTCCCTCCCTCTCTCATTCCTCTGTTCTGCAAGAATTCTGGAAGCACCACTCTATTTTAGGCCAGAATTAGATGCTGGGATTCTGGCACCACCCTCTCCCCAGACTTGTGTGTAGGCAGATGATGAGGACACCCTGTGGTAACCACCACATGGCAGCCATGGGGACCCAGAGCAGGAGGAGCACCAAGAAGAGAGCAACGGACTGCCTGGAGGAGGGGGCTGGGGATAGCAGTCAGAGAAGGCTTCACAGAAGAAGTGGCATTTAAGCGAAGCCAGGTGAAGGAGGGTGTATGGGAGTTCTCAGGGAGGAAAAGACACCCCAGGTAGTTTTTGTTTTCTGATATGTTTGGGGGAAAGTGAAGCACCTTGGTGGCTGGGGTTTGTGATGTAGGGTCATGTGTGCATGATCCCACCCAGACCAAGCCCTCCTTAGGTCCCAGCAACAGATCTGGGTCACTCTAGAACTTCCCCTAATTCAGCACCCTTGACCCCTAAAAAACTATCCGCTGTTAGTTTGCCAGGAACAGCCTTAGGGTGCTGATAGAGCACCCTCCAGGCACCCACCACCTGGAGACTCAATGGTAGAACTGTCCTGGGTTGCGCAGGCTGAGCAGGCAACAGCAGCAGTAGTATCTGAGGTGCCTGGCCCCCAAGATCCCATGTGCATCCAGCAAATGTTTATTAAGTGTCTTGCTGTGGGCCAGGCTTTGCCCCCAGACACTAGGAATACATCAGTGAACAAGACAGAACTCCCACTCTCCATGGCTACCAAATGATAAATAAGAAAAACGATTATGAAGACCACCAGGAACACATCTATAGTTGAACAAATAGGGTTTATTGCCTCTTTTGAGAAGGAAGAGTGCATTTACCTCAGTAAGAGAGTGTTCAAAAAGGCTTATTATAGACTTTGGGCGATTTGGGGAGAGTTCAAGTAATTGGGCTTTCACTCTGGAATAGACGTCAGGACGTGAGGACAAGTCTACGATTGGGTGTCTTAATATTTAAAGTGGAAACCTAATGCTGTAAAGAAACAGCAGTGACTCACATTAGCCAGAATGGGGAAATGTTTGATCTTTTTCTGGTTCCAACAATATTCTCATTATCATCTGACTTTAAACATGATCATAGAGCAGTCTTGTTTATGCCTTGCTCTATCACAGTCACAGAATGGCTTTGCATAACGCTGGTGTTCTGGGAAACTGTTTACGTCCAACAGGAGAATACCAAGGCCTAACTGTAAGTGCCAGGCCAGCTCCAGATGTGAGGGAAAGCTATCCTCTTTCTAGTAAGAAAGGCCCATTCAATCGACCAGGTATATTTGCTGGGTGCCAGGTGATGAGTAATTCGAGTTGGACAAAAGAGATACGGCCCCAGTCCTCAGGGAGCTCACAGTGACATGTCTTAAACAGATGGTCAGAAATGGGAGGCGGAGTGGACCAGACCCAAGAAACCGCCAGGAAAAAGCCCAGGGGTGGGAGTCGGGGGATGCTGAGAAACCAGTAGCAGGGCTGCTGGCGGATCCACGACGCGCACCGGGACTGGAGAAGTCGGCTGAGGCCGGACCCTCGGGCATGCAAGGCCACTTCTCCCCCAAGGACGTGGGCATTCGCTGCACTGATTTGCTCAGAAACAGGAAATGAAACCAACCAGCTTTAATCAAATTAAACCACCCGGCCTCGGGCTCATGAATATTCAGCAGCCTGCTTCCGGCTTGCCCCACTGCTCCAGCCCCGCCCAGCGAGGAGACTGCGCTTGCGTGACTGGCGCGCGGCTCTGTCGTCATACGCGCGCGCCACCACCGTTCTCTTGGGGAGCCGGCGAGCTGTAGAGCTGTTATGGCGAGCTCCGCGGCCTCCTCGGTGCGACCGCCGAGGCCCAGGAAAGAGCCGCAGGCCCTCGTCATCCCGAAGAATGCGGCGGAGGAACAGAAGCTCAAGCTGGAACGTCTCATGAAGAACCCGGTGAGACAAGGCGCGGGCTGACGGTCATTCCGAGTCCCACCCCCTTCCGTTCTGGCGTCTCTGGGCGCCTGCGGGCCCACTTTCCCCACCTCCGAACTCTGGAACTAAATACCTGAACCCCAGGGTCAGACCTTAGGAAGGAGTAGGCTGCCCCGAGATAGTTTTCTTCTGGGCTTATGTTAGAGCCTAGCCTGCGTGAGGGCGCTGCGGAGCGGCTTCCCGTGCTTTAAGACTCCCCCCAGTTTAACTTTTTGTGAACAAAAGCCTTAGACTGGAAAGATAGAATCCGTGGGTTAGCACAAGGGTTTATTTTCTTCTAAACACCACCAACTGTTAGAGAGGCATTGGCCGAGACACATGGGGCAAATCACTCCCCTCGGTCATGAAAACAGTTGGATGAGAAGGTCTCTTATACCTTTGACTAGAAAGGATTACTTCTCCTCGTACAAAAGTGTTAAAGTTGGAGGTTTTCAGCCCTAAATGAGGACTTAAGTTTCTGAGTTCTGCTCTGGGTAGTTGAATGTAGCCCTGGCAAGGCTGTGGGGTCTGATAGGACCCAGAGTATACACGATGAAGTGAAGGCAGAAGGAAGAAATAAACTTACCTTTGGGTCCAACGAGCAAAGCAGCCTTACTTAACTAGTCCCGTTAAAGTTCCTTGGTTATAAAAGATGAGACTTTGTCAGAAGGTTTATCCATACAAATGCTTTCGTGTTTAAATGTTGCAGGACAAAACAGTTCCAATTCCAGAAAAAATGAGCGAATGGGCACCTCGACCTCCCCCAGAATTTGTCCGAGATGTAATGGGTAATGTCTTTTGGATGTGGGTATGTGTGTAAATAAAGTTTTCTAAGTGTAGGTGTAAAAACTCTGCAGTTAATATCTGTTAATTGCATACCTGATAGGAAGAAAAAAAGTCCATTGATCCAATATGTTGCTCTTACAGTGAAGGGGTATTGTTGCTTATGGTTTGACATTAGAGAATTTTCTACTGTATTATTTTTAATATCTTGTGTTTTCAAAATGGAAATAGTTTTATTTTGTTGGGTTGTAAATTAACATAACTAATTATAAAGAATAACAGGTGTAAAAAAAATAGGACCACCTGTAATTCCATCATCCTGTTTGTAACATTTTGATATAGCCTTCCAAATACCTTTACAATCAGAACCACTCATGCTTAAGAAGAAATGTTCTTACAGAAATATGGTTCTGCCCATACTGATAACCTGCTCTTTTTTCACTTAATGTATCACGGACATCTTTTCTACTGAGTAGAGATCTAGCATGTTAAATGTGAAATCATTCCAGGGGGAAAAAGTCACCAGCTCTCTTCAAGGTTTCTGGTTTCTGAACCCCAGTCTGCTGCGTTACTGCATTAGAGTGGAATTTTTAGCGACTTCAAATACAGTATTCATGCAACAGATATTTAATGATGCCTACAATATGCCAGGCACTGTGTTAGATTCTGGGGTACAGTGGGGGGTAGGGTAGGCATATTTCCTTCCATTACTTCTAGTACCTTTCTTTGGTTCCTTTTGATTAAGGGTAGCTTGTGTTTGGTAACTGAATTTTATCAAGAGCTCTGGACTATTCTGGCTTTAGGTTCAAGTGCTGGGGCTGGCAGCGGAGAGTTCCATGTGTACAGGCACTTGCGCCGGAGAGAGTACCAGCGGCAGGACTACATGGATGCCATGGCTGAGAAGGTCAGCAAGCAGGAAGCCGGGTTTGGGCAATGGGTACTTAAACCTTCTAGAAAAAAGCATTTGAAGAAAAGTGGATCCACCAGGTTGCGGGTTGTGTGAAGGCTGCCTTCTAAGTTAGGACTGGGTGGGGAATGGTATAGCTCAGAGGTAGAGCACATACTTAGCATGCAGGAGATACTGAGTTCAAACCCTGGTACCTCCATTAAAAAAAGTAAATAAACCTAATTACCTCCCCCCAAAATTTTTTTAAATAAATAAAGTTAGGATGAGAAACAGACATCAAGTAGAGTCCAGGTTACTTATAGGTCAGACACTGCCCAGCAAGATGCTCATACTAGGAAACAAATGAGGGGAGGGAGACTTCCAGGCAGTGGAGAGCACAGCAGAGTCCCCTCCCCACCCCAGGCCATTTGCCATGGAGTAGAAAGCAGTACCTCCCACACCACTTGGATCATTATTTCTCTGTAGTTTTCTCTGGCTGAATGCCCATAATTCCAGTTAGCTGTGTGTTTGATGCGAGTAGTAATGTGCTTTCAAGTGTTTTTGCCTCTTTTAGATTTTTATCTTTGAGACTGGTATTTCTTCATGATTGGTGTTAAATAATAATTGATTAAGAATTGAGAATTGCTTCAGAAATTGTACTGGAAGAACTGTTAAGCTTTCTATTGCTTGATGGGAATGGCTAGAAACTCTCCTGTTGCTTTTAAGAAATACTCTTTGGGACATTTCATTTGTTTTCTGTTTGGAATTGAGTTTTGGAGTTCTTTTATCTACACCAAAAATTGTTTGATTTTTTTACTAGAATTAAATTGAATCTGTAACTTAACTTGAATAAGATTGGACGTCACAGTATTTGGTCATCCTCTCTAGAAACTTTATCTTTTTCATTTGTTTAAATCTTTTTGTATCTCTCAGTGATAATTTGTGGAGATTTTACATGTCTCACCACATTTGTTCAAAGATATTTCAAGTTTTTTTATTGCAGTGTGGTGATGGTGGTCTTTAACAGTTTATTGGAGTGACTAAAATTGAGTTTGAAAAATATCTTTATGATTTTCGAACAGAATGGATCATTGCCCTGGTGATTTTCACCTGATATCTGTTGTCCTACAGCCTTTACTCGGCCCCTAGGTGTTGGTGGTTCTTCTCCAGCTGCTTCTCAATTCCAGTGAAAAGTTTCATTTCAGGTGGCTTGTCACACAGCTGTACCCCGTCACTGTGATGGACTTGTCACTGCCAGGAATAAACAAAACTCCGTGTATAGAAACTAACAGAAGCACTTTTTAATTTTTTACTTTTAAACTGCTTAGAGGAGAGGAAACTAGAGCAGATGGCTGTGTCAAATGCTGTCAGTTAGTCTGAAGTTTTTATATATTGATTAATGACTCAGAAAATATGGGAAAATGTTTCACAAACTTTGAATCCACACAGACACAAGGGTTTTCATTTCACAATGTGAAAGACGGGCTCTGAAGTTAGAAGAAAAAAGAGTTGCGGGAGGAGTCTCACCTTCCACAGCAACTGATAGGGTGTCACCACTGACAGCATATCTGACTCCTGCTTGAGCCCTTGCCATGGTCAGCAGCCAGTGGGGGCTCTGTCCAGGTCACTTGGAAAGTGCAGCTGCTTCAGACATTTGCAGCTCACCTTCTAAACAAACCAGGTGCTTTTAGCTTGAAGTTGTTTGCTTTCTAGTTGAGCTCTGATTAAAGCTGATTCCCTTCTTGGAAGGAGACCCTTCTTTTTTATTCCATAATTCTGCTCCCAGAGTTTCTGTGTCAGTCTAAGCAGATCCACACAGCCCTGGCAGTGCAGACCAGCAGAGGTGTTGAAGCTGCCTCTTCCTCTTCTGCTGGCCTTTGTTTGTTTGTTTGTTTTTTATGGGGGGAGGTAATTAGGTCTGTTTATCTATTTTTAGATGAGGTACAAGGGACTGAACCCAGGACCTCATGCATGTGAAGCATGTGCGCTACAGCTTGAGCTATACCCTCCCCCTGACACTTTTTTAATCAATAGTTGTCTTTGTAGTTTAAAAGTGCTTCCTTGTAAGTTACTGCATTTCATTATTCTTCCTAAATTCTCAGGGAAAGAGGAATTATTTCCTTAATTTTATAGATGAGGAAACTGAGGCTTAGAAAGAGGGAGCTGCTAGGAAGAACCCATCCTTTGGAGGTATTTGGAGGCTTCATTAATGTGGACGTGATTAAATCATTGACCGTTAGTAATTAGTTTGGCCTCCAGGCCCCCTCCCTTCCTGGAGGTCAAGGAGGTGAGGCTGAAAGTTCCCCCGGCAACCAGCCCTGTTCCGTAAGGGCCTTCCAAAAGTCACTCAAACTCCTGTGGTCAAAAGGGACTGTTATGAATAACAAATGTACCTATTTCATCTTTATTTCTGGAGCTGTTTTAGGAACTGGGAACAAAACTAAATATTATAATAAAAGATCCCCCAGTGGCTCTTACATAGGAAATTTATAAGTTCTAGGAGTTATGTGCCAAAAACAATGAACCAAGACCAAATATATGTTTCTTATTATAAGTCACAATATCACACTATCCAAGGTCCTGGCTAAACAAGAGCCAGTAGTGCTGCCTCTGCCTTCAAGGAAGTCAGTGTGCTCCCTCTCATACTTTCTCATAATTACCTGTGCATGAATGGTATCTTAATGAACTATTACTTCACCATCAGAGATCCATATATTGATTTCCTGCCCCATCTGTAGGTCAGCTTCTTAAAGTGGCCCTGGAGACCTGGGTGTGCCTATAGCACCCCCAGTGGTGTGACTTCTAGAGTTTGCATACCCAGGCCAGAGTGTGTAAGTGATGTTTTTGTTTTTTTGGTTTTTTTCTTTTGTAGCAAAAATTGGATGCAGAGTTTCAGAAAAGACTAGAAAGGAATAAAATTGCCGCGGAGGAACAGACTGCAAAGCGTCGGAAAAAGCGGTGAGAGCTTTATGGCATCTCATAACTAATGAGGCTTAGAGTGGGAAATGTAAAAGTAGGTAGTTGGTAGATGAGTCCTTGTTATAGTCGAAAGTTCACCTGTGTGGCCCATAGAGGTCTTGGGTGTTAAAACCCACGGTGGAGCACCCCAATAGAGGAATGGCTTTTCTTCCAGGACCTGGAGAGAGATCCAATCACTTATTGCCCCCCACCCCGACCCCCAGCTTGCTGCAGGTTCTCCAAAGCTTGGAGGTCAGTACTTTGATGATCACCTGGATTTCTGTGTCTCCTTCACGTCTGTGTTTTGACATCAGGTTTAACAAGGTGCTGTGAGCAAACTTTCCAGTTAGCTTTTTCCTTAACCTCCCTAAGTGATTACATGAGTATACAGGCTGTGCATGTGTGTGTGTGTGTTCTAATAAATTCTCCCTCAACTTTTAGAGAGCTGAGCAGGATTCTAAAAATAGTCCCTAGTGCTCACTTAGGCAGCACATATACTAAAATTGGAACAATGCAGAGAAGATTAGTATGGCCTCTGCGCAAGGATGACATGCAAGTTTGTGAAGTGCTCCATTAAAAAAAAAATAGTCCCTAAATATCTTTGGATGAAGAAGTATCTCCAGTATTTCTGGATTGCTTTAATCACCTGGGGGTTCCTAAGGATTTGATCTTGATTCATGAAGGGAACAACTTGATAACGATGATGTTGGAGTAGCAGAGTCATGAGAAAGTATTTCTTTCATTTTATTGTAGTGTTTCTGTAATTATTAAATCTCTAAAGATTCTGTAAGTAGATGTTTATTTTCTAAAATATAAAATAAAGTAGTTAAGGAATTATGTATTTATCTTACATTTGTAGTCAGAAGTTAAAAGAGAAGAAATTATTGGCAAAGAAAATGAAACTTGAGCAGAAGAAACAAAAAGAAGGTGAGTGGTACCCACTTTTGTGACTATTTGCAGTGTTGCTCATAGTGGTTGACCTGTCAAGAATGAAATTTAGCGTTTGGAGCTGGTTGGCTGGCCACTGAAGAAATGAGGGCTTGTTTCTGTTAGTTAGGACTTGTTTAATTGCAAGTGTCAGGAAACCAAACTGGTTTAAGCAAAAAAGAAAGATACTGGCTCATGTTGCATCCAGGACAGTCCTCCTTCCAGGCATAGCTAGTAAAGGACTTCTAATGCCATTTGCTGTCTCCTTCTGTCCCCTGGCTCCCTGTCCTCAGGCAGGCTCATTTTCTCCTTGTGGTTGTGAGGTACCTGTAGCTCCTTTGGGCTGCACCCTGGCTCATTCTTGACCAGTAGGAAAGACTAAGGGAGTGTCCCTTGTGAAAGTGTTTTTGTGTCTCTTTGGCTCTGACTGAGTGACTTGACAGTCAGTTAAGAATGGTCTTGGCTGCAAGAAGTAGAAAACTCAACTAGCAGTAGTTAAAGAGGAATTATTTTTCTCATATAACAAGAAATCTGGTGGTAGGTGGCAGCCCAGTGTGGTTGAGCAGCTCAGTAGTATCAGGCCCAGCATCCCTGCAGTCCTCTTGGCCTTTATCCTGTGGGCATGAGATGTCTGCTGCAGGTCCTGGCACCATACTTATGTTTAAAGCAGGAAGAAGAGGGGAAAAAAGTGGTATTTCTCTTTTTTTTTTTTTGTAAACTGAAGAGCCAAAGATCCCCAGAAGTGCCCATCAGATATCACCTTATATCTCATTGATCAGTATAAGATCACTTGCCATCCTTTGCTGCCATCAGGCAAGATGAATAGAGAACAGAACTGTTATGACCGTCTTTAACCTGTTGTGATCCATTACTGGGAGCTGGGTACATTGCCACCCTAGACAGAATTGAGATTTTGTTAGAAGAAGAAATAGGGGTGAATAATGTGTCAGCATCCCACAGCATTGCCAGTCCTGCCCACCTCTGATCCCATCACAAGGCCAGCTGTGCCAGCCACTCCCTTTGGAGCCCCTGAGCTGAGAATCAGGGAGAGAGGGGCCCCAAATGAAAAGGACGAAGGATGCTAAGAGACCCAAAAAATGACAACTGGTCACCACATTACTGAATCGGTGGCTGTTCCCTGATTGACTGGACATGGTTCGTGATTGGGCAGTCATGATTTTTGGTCTTAGATAAAATCAGACTTGCATTGACATACTGAAATATGGTTAGCCTCTTCCAGGACCAGTTTCCTCGTGAGTTGTAAATATACTGTATGACATACTATATATAGCCTTTTCCCTGACATTTCCTAGAAGAGATTATTTTACAATGCCAAAATGTGATGGCTGGGACCTCATCCCTCAAATAAACCAACTCATTACTTTCCCTGCCCTTCCCCTCACCACACACACAGGAATGTGGAAGTACATGGTTCAAAGGCAGGAGGATTGGGCACAGGTGCCAGTCTTATGTTCTGTAGAAGGAGATACTGTGGCTTGGACCCCATTGTATTGGGAAATAGAAACGTCTCCTTGGCTCTGGGTAATTTGACCCTCCCTCCACAGGGTTTGTTGTTTTTCCTGCTTGTTTTTGTTGCTCTTTAATGTGTTTAATGACTTTTCTGAACGAATTCTGTAAAGCCTATATTCTTTGTTGTGTGTGGCCACTGAAGCCTCTGCTTGGTTAGCTTAGTGGTCAGCTGAAGAATAGAGATTTCCTGAAATACCTTGAACCAGTAAGTCTCCCAGTCTTTGCCAGTGGGATCTTTGTGTGTGGTGGAGCATGCCTTCAACATTCTGGCATTGCAGTTCACAGTTTTGCCTTAGCCTTCACTTCCTCCTCGCACAGAGCCTCAAGGTCAGCCAGAGGTGAGATGAGGGCCATCACTTGTCTTTCTCAGACATGTACCTGCTCTTACATGCATGTGGCCTTCCTGAGTACCAGCTTTTCCTCTTCAGTTTTTGGTCAGTTTCTTGTTTGCTTCAACTGTTATCACTGCCTCAGGCAGGTATGATGTTAAACAGTCGCCACTGATTGTTTTTGACAAATACCTTGGGGAAGAGACTGTTCTTACTGAGTCAGTTCAAATAAAGACAAGCCTTGCGAGTCAAGTTTCCAGGAAGCTGCCAGACAGGTCAGATAGGGACAGTACTCAGGGTATGTGACTTCTGAGGAGCTCCCAACGCACTTTACCTCTTCCAGTGGCTGCGAGGCTGCTGGTTTTCACAGCTCCTGTGATTATGAGGCTGTTGATTTGGGAGGCTGCCTTAGATCTGGGGAGAGGGGTGAGGAAATAGAGCAAGTTAAAACACCACAAAACTTGCTCTTCTTACCAAAATTCAACCATTTCTATCAAACAATCCAAGGAACATTTCCAGAGTTCTAGAGAAGTTGATTTTGGTGATTATTGTCAGTGTTCTTGACAAGTCTGCTGCTTTTATGGAGAAGCAGGTTTTTAAGGGGTCTTTGCCATTCTGAAAGTGCTGTCATCCCTTTAAATTTTAACCTACCTATGTTTGAAATATGTTTCCTACAGACATCAAATGTTTGGGTCGTGTTTTTTACCCTTTCTGACAATCTGTGTATTTGATATCTTTGGGTTTTAGGGTTACATTTTGGGGGTTTTTTGTTGTTGTTCCCTCTGTTTTTTCTTCCTCTATTTCTCCTTCTCTCCCTTTTGGATTATTTGAACATATTTATTATTCCATTTTATCTGTTGTGTGTTTTGGGGGTTTGGTTTTTTTTTAATCTATTGTGTTTTTAACTGTTTCCCTTTTCATAGTTTTTCAAAAAGTTGTTCCTCTAGGGATTATTATATACATACTACTTTCATGGTCTACTTGGAATCAGGATTTCACCACTTTAAGTAGAATGTAGAAACTTCATCACATAAATTTCTTTACTCTTTATGTTGTAGTTGTCTTAGACATTACACCTGCATACATTGAAAACCCCATCAGATAGTTACTTTTTTTTTAATTGAAATGTAATTGACTTAATATTATTTCAGTTTCAGGTGTACAACATAGTGATTTACTTCCATAGATTATGCATCATACAGTTATTTTTGGCTGTATTCTCTATGCTGTACATTACATCCCTGTGAGTTATTTAGTATATAACTGGTAGTTTGTACATCTTAATCCCCTTCACCTATTTTGCCCATTCCCCCACACTCCTTCCCTCTGGCAGCCACTAGTTTGTTCTCTGTAGCAGTGAGTCTGTTTCCAGGTTTTTTTGTTTGTTTTGTTTTGTTTTTAGATTCCACATATAAGTTAAAACACGCAGTATTTGTCTTTCTCTGTCTGACTTACTTCATTTAGCATAATATTATCCAGGTTCATCCATGCTGTTGCAAATGACAAGATTTCATTCTTTTTTATGGCTGAGTAATATTCCTGTGTGTGTGTGTGTGTGTGTGTGTGTGTGTGTGTGTGTGTGTGTGTGTATGCATACATCTTTATCCATTCATCTATTGGTGTGTGTGTGTGTACATCTTTATCCGTTCCTCTGTCAGTGGACACTTAGGTTGCTTCCATATCTTGGCTATTGTAAATAATGCTGCAGTGAACATTGAGATGCATAAATCTTTTTGAATTAGTGTTTTCATTTTCTTCAGATAAACACACAGAAGTTTAATTGCTGGATCAGATGGTAGTTCTGTTTTTATAATGTTACTGTTTTTGTTTCCAATCATCAAATGTATTTCAAAGATCTCAAGAGGAGAATAGTCTTTTTGTTTTATTCATTTTTTAAGCTTTTTATGGGAGGCAATTAAGTTTATTAATTTTTTTTTAATGGAGGTACTGGAGATTGAACCCAGGACCTTGTGCATGCTAAGCATGCACTCTACCACTGAGCTATACCCTCCGCCAAGATGAGAATAATCTTAACTAGTAACCGATAGTTATCATTTCTCTTGCTTTTTCTTTGTTCCTGTTGTTCCAGACTTCCATCTGGTATCATTTCCCTTTTATCCAAAGAACTTGTTTTAGTCACTCAGTTAGAGCAAGTCTGCTGGCTATGAATTATCTTAGCTTTTCTTCACATGAGGCTATCTTTAGTTCACCTTCATTCCTAAAGGACATTCTCATTAGATGTAGAATTCCAAGCTGGCAGTTTTTTGTTTCAGCACTTTAGAAATGCTGTTCCATTCCCTCTGGCCTCCATGGTTTCTAATTTTTTAAAAAATATGTAGTTATTCAAATTGTTCTCCTCTGATTATTTTTTTCTGACTGCTTTCAGGATTTCTGTCTTAGATGTCAGGAATTTGATTATGATGTGACTGCACATGAATTTCCTTGGGTTTATCCTGGAGTTGGGTTTGGATTTCACTGAGCTACTTGAATCTGTAAGCATGTGTCTCTGTCAGATTTGGGATTTTCTTTTTCCCAATCTTTTTTTGTCCCCAATCTTTTTTTGTCCCCTGTTGTTCATATTGGATAATTCCTATTGATCTGACTTCGAGCCGTCTCTCTCCTGTGTTATCTCCATTCTGTAATTGATTCTATCCAGTGAATTAT